GGTTTTTTGCTGAAGAAGCAATAACGTCGAGCTGTCTTGTTAGTTGCGGAATTTCAAATCCTGGGAGTTTCCCCTTTATGTTCCGGCACTGCGAGAATAGCGCTTCCCATCAACTATCTAAGTCACACCCGAAGAATAAAGAGGTCATCGTAGCGTCCTGAAACTTCCCACCGGGCAGAAAATGGCAGTAAGTAAAGCTGGATCCATGTACTCCAAAGTAGACAAAGTAACTAGGTTTGAACATGGCCCTAAGGCCAGCCAATGAGTACAAGGACTGGGTAGATCCCAGTGACCGCCAAACGTCAGGCGGTCACATGCACAAAGCGTTACAGTCATGCTTGTAGAGCCGAAATTTTACTTTAGTCATAAAGGTTGTCGAATCTACAACGTGGTGCAGAACCTTGCTACTCACAGAACCGCAAACACAGGTTATGCGGAGGTTTTAAATGTAGCATATTTACTCGGAAGTATATCCTTACCACTACACTGCAGAATTCTTCCAGTGCTTTATCCATGTATCCACGTATGCACGACCTAAGCCCAGCTTGCTACATGAAAAAAATGACCCTTTAACACATGTCTGTATTTTAAATGGACAACAACAGGAGTGGTAAGAAGAACCGACACAATGCAGGTAAAACAAAATTGAATGACCTAAGTGTTGTTCTATTTTTAGCGCCTCGAGACTTCCCACCGGGCAGAAGCAGTAAGTGGAGCTGAATACATGTATTCCAAGGAGAACAAAGCAATTAGGCCTGCGCATGCACGAAGGTCAGCCCACGCGTACAAGAGTGAGACAAATCCTAAAGTGACCGCCAGACATCAGGCAGTCACATAAACAAAGTGTTACAATGCCTTGCATAGCATACTTGCATTTAGCAAACAACAAAATTGGAGCTGTTGGCATAGCCCAGAGGGCGGCTTCTATGGCTGTCAACATTCTTGCAGATCACCTATGCTTGTTAAAATACTGATTTGCACAATTTCCAGTTGATTTCTCAAAAGTACATTTGAAAACGAACTTAAAGTCGAAGTGATGCAGCACTGTTTTGAAAAACGCAGAATGAAACATTGATTGACAGCAACAACGACAAGTCACATATACACTTATGGTGATCAAAATGCGTGTGGTATCACTGTTTGTCTCGGAATGGCATGCTGGAAGTTGTGAAACGAAGATAGACATGGGGATTAGAGGGCGTTTAAACCGAGCCGACCCGCAAAACGACTACAGTAGCGTGATCTAATTTGCCAGGCATTCTTTTCATCGAGTCCATAATCCAAGCTCTCCTGCGCTCCAACTCACACAGCTCATCATCCTTCTCAGCAACTGTCACGCGGCCACAATCCCCACCAATTGCACTCTCCGAGTCGGTCTTCTGCATCGAATTCTTCTTCCGCATGTACCGCGAGAACTGCGCCTTTAGCTTTGTGGTTTCAGGCGCCTCAAGAAATTGACGTTTTTGGGCGGTCACGCGCCTGACATGTTTCAGCAAGGCCTCCCCAAAGTCCGCTGCAGAGACCTCACCGTTACCGGTGCGTTCAAGCTCGTACCAGATGCGTGTGAGTTCCTTCGCCGCGTACTGACGACGTTCGGGCCAGGTGAGCTCCAACTGGTCGGTGTAGTTAAGGCTACGTGCACTCACTTCGTCGGGGCTAGAGAGGAGTGAATCGGGTTCTGACGGCGTCTGTTCTGGCGGCAGGGACGACGGTGGAGGTGGCGGTGGTTTGGGCCACACCAGCAGCTTATATGGTGTTGAAATCGGTGTCATCTTGGCCCAGTTAGGGTGCACTTTCGAGCATGTCTTGGAATGAGTTGTGTTGTTATTTTCAACTTCATTTTCGTCTACATAGGTGATGTCTGGAGAACGTGGTATAGCGATCCGAACAATCACGGGATCAAAGTTATCCGTCAAACCGTCTGTTCCAAAAATTATCACATCTCTCGGAGCGCAGTGTACAACTGAAAATACAGTTAAATAATTTATCTAGCTCCAAGAATGCTTAAATCGAACTTCTGAGCTGTGAAGATGGATTTTTGAAAGCAATTAAAATTACCTGAGTGCATAGTGTGACTTGAGTTCATTAAAATGCAGTTTATTTGAATGTTATACCAAAAAAAAAACCGAAGAAGAACATCGTGTTGTTGGAATCTCCGCTCAGCAATGATAATCACTCGATATAACTCAAAATGAGTAATAAAGTCTTGTAACCGAGTCACATGGTGGTGATGCTTACTAAAGGATAGAATAAAGAATCAAGGGATAAATTCCCCTGACTCAACTTTGCAAATTAACAGTGCACAACCAATTAACACTTTTTAAAGTACAAATGCAATTGATAAATATCGCTCAGATTGATGTAGTAAAGGTGAAATATTCACAAAACAGTTTATCCCAACTTGCCTGCACACATCAAGTTCTGAAGCTCCGGCTCTCCAGATTCGTGGACAGCACCAAGGGCACCGCCAGCATCGCGGAAGTCTCTCTCTGGGGGACCCTCGGTCTCACAGCCCGTTTTGGCACCTACAGAGGACGGCTGTGGGGGAACCCAGCCGGTAACCTCGACGGTGTCGGTGCCCTCGCGTAGCAGAAAAGCTTGCGAGTCACCAACAGAGGCAACAATGAGGGCACTGCCGTAGCGCAACGTCTCGAGACCTTCGATTCCCTCCTCTAAGGAAGAGGATGCGGAGAGGTTCGACTGGTCGGGACGGTGACGTCGGTGGCGCTCGCTCAAGTGCACTGGCAGAAGCAGACCCACGCAGAGTGTTGAAAGGCCCCGCGTCTGCGCCGTGATGTCCAAATGAGCCTGACGAAAGGCCGCGAATAGAAGACTAGCAGCATCCTAAAATGAAGTGCCATTAGAAAGACTTCAATTTCACACTGTGGTTACCGTTGGAGAAGCATGGCTGCCCAGACAATTCGCACAACTTAACATTACTACCTCCAAAAGAACAGAAATGGTACAGCGTTAGTCTTTGCTTTTCGTAGTTATGCAACAAAAAGTGCCAGGTGTTAAAATGTCTCATCTTATTTTCAGTGCACAGCTTAGCTCAACCTTCTCTTTCGGTTAGCGTTTATTTACGCATAAAAAACAAATTTATTTGGGAGTTTATTTTTAGAATTGATAATTATTATTCATCAAGTTAAGACCGCGGAACAACTCAGAACTTTGTCAAAATACGACAAAACAATTTCATTCTCCAATAGTACGATCAAATTTTGTTGTTGCTAGTTTAATTCGTAAATTTTTACGACTTCCCAAAGCAACTCTACCGCGCGTGCAGGACAAACTAAAAAGCATTCAAATATGCTTCAAATAAGTTGAATATCCTGTACTCTTCCTTTAGTTTCCCTCAAAACCTAATCGGGAGGACGTAAGTTTATACTTTGGTCGTAATGTTGGTTGCAAGGAAACCTACGAAACCAATGGAGTAGACCGAGAAAGCCACTGACTTGGGGTCCAATTCGTTGATACAAAAATAATAATAATAATATAATACAAAACTAAGCATTGGCATTATTAAAAAGAATGTTGTCCTTCAACAAGCAGCTTGTATTTGCGCGTTTAAAATGCTGTTACATAGGTCGTTTACCACCTTTTAGGGCAATTATGCAATTATGTTTTGATTGATCAAACACTAACAATTGATGAAAAATGCGGTACGAACACCGATCCAACTCGACATAGCGTGCTCAACGAAAGTGTGAAAAAGGCGATTTTCATTACAAATTGTCCAAGTTCATTGCTGAACCGTAAAAACTGCACTTTTGATTAGCATGAACTTTGGAAGTATGGTACGAAGCGGACACAGGGCGGGGAGTGTTGTACAAGAAGTAGAGTCAGTACGAAAATCCCTCAACTGCCAGAAATAGCATAGCGTCCTGCGTTGCGATCGGCAACTGAATGCACCTGCGGTGGGCGGCGTTACAAACATACAGTGCCACACCACTGGTGTGGTGTGGTACAAGCAAGGTCGTTCAAAAAGGAGTCAGAATATTTAATGTCATGATTAGGCTAGAGTTGTGCTTAGTTATAGAGAAGATGTACATGCGAAGCACTCAATACGTCTAATACATCAAAAGGACTTTCCTTTGGTTTATGCATGAATTTTGGGAAGAACCGAGAATGCGGTATCTACAGACTTTCAGGAGATTTTAACACCAGTAACCACTTATGATGCTAGTGGATCGTATTGGAAATACTAGTTGATGTACAAACAATTGACTTTTCTCGAGCCCTGAAAGCTGGTTATACCAGTGCTCCATTTTTTTCTCCAAATTATTTATGAAGCACACAAAGTAAAGTATCAAAAGACACTGCTCATCTACTTATTTTACCAGGAAAATTATCAATGGACATTTTGCGAGCTTCATCTTCTATAAAATGGGCTTTGATGGGTGAAGAGTTAATGAGAACTTTAAACTGCTCTTCGTAAATGGACTAGGAGGCAAGAGAAAATACAACTTGGCTAAGCTGAGATTGTGCACAAACTCGTATAAATACCTCATATTTACCGGCTCCAAATTGAATGGGTGGTTAGTGACCTGTTCCAAGTTTTTAAACAAACACTCGGATTTGTGCCCCAAGTCTTGCATAGAATCAGCCTCTATTAGAGAGAAACAGAAGCTAAGAGCACGAGCTATGGGAAAGTCAGTCAAAGCAAAAGGAACCAAATTCGACCTGGTTTAATTGTTGCCTCAGAAAACCTATTCACAGACTCATAGGATTATGAAAAGTAAGTTGGAAGGAAATAAGTCCACTAGAAAGCATTTGGAGTGGGAACAGTCCGGGAACCAATTTTATTAGACCAAGCTCAAATTTGTAATGGTTTATGACAAAAGCAGTGTTTCTCTTTTAAGTACTATTCTCTTTCCGCATTTACTTCGACGGCTCAAGTAGCTTGACTTACTTTTTGACTACGTTAATAAAGGGAAACATGTACTATCAGCCCAACCCCCGGCCCAGAATGGCCGCCAAGCATTCCCCAAATTAATCCAATAAAGAGTATTTGCAGGGTCAGACATTTTCAATGAGGAGAGATATTTCAGTCTTGCTCTATTGTATACAAAGGCCAAAGGACTTACAATTTCTGCCTATACCTAAAGGCCACAAATGAGTGATTCAGTCTAGTCTTTAATTTATGGACCCTGGCTACACAGCACTTCCCTGAAGTCGGATACTTTTCTCCCCATCCATACTATAGGCTGCGTTACATTGTTGATGAAGTCGATAATAGCACTGTGTACAGACTCAACAGTCAGGAAGATGCAATGATCAAGACTAATTATTTATTTTGCACTAAATTTCGTTCAAAAATCCGTCCCGAACTAGATAATATTTTCGAAGCACAAACAGCTATTGAAGATACTGACTAAAACAACTGTTCCAGTTGTGTTCACGAGTCTCAAAACGAGTGCAATGGAAGGCTCGCATAAAAAACCGTTTCAGCTAAAAATAATTTAATAAACAGTAAGTCCAAGATAAAATAGTCACTTTTCCAACTTTATTCAACGTAAGCTTTTTAAAATTTGAAAAGTGAAACGGTTGCATTTATAACAAAGTCAGTAATCAAATAAATGGGGTCTCGAATATGCTGAATAGACATTGCTTTTATCTGCTGCCTTACTAAAGCACAATCTGAATGGTGTTCACGGATAAGGAAAAGGATAGTGGAGTGATAAAGAGAAGGGGGTAGGAAAATAAAGCCTACCCGAGTGTTGCGCACTTTGAGGGCTTGGGGTCCGCCGAGGAGGAGGTTAGTTTCGAGGTGCTCGTAGATAGCGTTGATGGCGCAGCGAGCAGCGCGCATCGGCGCTTCGCCCCAATTCACGCCGTCGGCAACGGCGAGGAAGGCGCTGTCCTGTCGCACCTTCACCACAAATGCGTCAGCAATGGGGTCACCTTTAATGTGTGGTAATAAAATAAGGTACAAAACAACGCCTCCTTCCACCTCGATGATCACTATGTGGAAGATAAACTAGAAGCTTGCATTATATGTTTTGCTGTTTGAATAATTAAGTAATAGGAATGCTCGGAGGAAACAATGAATTCACACCAATGCATCAAACGACACCAATTTTAAACCTGCTTTTGAAGAGAGTATATCATTAGGCAGCAGGCAATGAGCGCTACCTGACTAAAAAATAAAGAGCATAAAAAAAAAGAGGCCAAAAATGTGACCCCACTTAGCCTACAAGAATGAAAGCGACATTACCGTCCGCTGTGCACCTTCTTTACCTGAGTAAAAGTTCAAACATCACTAAGACGCAGTGCCTGTCTACAAATTCCCGTTCTTCAACGCAATGCATTTCTGGCTTATCAGAAAACACTATTAGATGGAATTACTCAAGAGGGGTATGCAGCATGAAAGAATACATAGTCCTTAAATTAGAGCAAGTATGCATGAAGCTCGTCGTCGCTTGTACTTCCATCTTGGCAATCACGTTCTTCCAGCCACGTTCATGACCTCTCATCCTTTTTTATGCTTCGATGTCTGTTTATCCATACCACCATGGCTTGTTACTATTGTAGTGAAAGACTCGAAACGATACCTCAAAAATGAGCATGTATCGAGAGATGGTTTCGTTGAAAAACTACTCGGTCTTGCTCAAAACTAGTGGCAACAGTCCCTTGCAGGTAAAGGCGCCAACAGTCATGATACAATCAGCTACAACACTATCAACCTTAGCTAATACATTCTCGAAAACTGATGAAATCAAAATTTATTTGCGAGATGGAAAGGTCACGAAACTTCTTAAATCAAACGAAAACTCGGCAAATCAAGTAGTACACAAAGGTCTAGAAAATCCAATTCTCTGTCGTGCTGCATAAAAATAGTAGACAGAAGACGTCTGTTCCAGAACTAGGCACATAAACTTGTGTGACTTATGTGCCGCGGACAGCTAATTGTCTTTAATATACCGTTAACAAAGCACCAGCTGATTTCTTAATGACGTACGACGGTCAACGAAGGCGGCAAAGCACGGTAATTTGTGAGGCGTACACCCTTTGCCGGTGAAAGAAAAAAATTTGGTTCTATTTACATAAGTTGAGTCTACTAAGTTATACTTCGGCAACACTTTGTAAGTAAAAATCGCGACCTCCCCAAAAGCGCAACAAATCTGGTGCAATGTGGTGGATTGAAGACTCGGATGTGGTAGTCACAATTGGTACTTGCATTGTCACTCACAATGAAAAGTAGACTTTTGCTCAAGTGAGTGGAGTGTAAGAGAACTAGCCTCGATTTACTGGATGTCACCACACGATTTAGGTAATAACATCCGCTCCAATGAGGTTCTTGAGATGTGTGGTTCAGACCTCGGAGACAAGTACGACATTAAAGCTGTCATCGATAACACCTCTGCATACTTGTAAGTCCTATAGAAATCTTCATAAAACAATATATTTCTAACTTTTTCCTACAAAAATGTTCACTTCTTTACCCAGTAGTCGTAAAAGATGAGTAGTTTGAGATCATGGTTTCCTAAACTGTGACAGCCAAAACAAGATAACTTCGTATTCAAAGCCATCACTTGATGGATAAATTGGAGTTGCAGGTACCATTGCAAACTGTTCAAAAACACCTAACATTAAATCAGTAGAGAGCTGTCCAGTAAAAGCAAAACAATAAGCGTCCAATTTTTAGACCCGTCTTCCACAATGGCAGTGCTAACTGAGACGCTGAAATTCTTAACTCTTTTACATGAAAATCAAAGGCCTTCAAGTCAAAGTCTAGATAACGTTAGAATCGGAAGTAATGCACAAATAAAAACAGAATAAGGATTGTCATTAGAAAGCGAAGGTAGCCTGCATCGAACAATGACGCGCAAGATTAAAAAAAGGAATTGGATGTCCTTTGCAAACACCTGAATGGAGGACGAAACTCAAATCTGCTATTTGTAACGCAGGAAAGTTTAATAGATTTGGCACAAAAGACGAGTGAGACTAGCAACAATGAATGCTCAATAAGGCCCTCGATTTCTCAAAGGGAAAAAATGAAAACCGTCCCATCCAATTTATTTCTTGGCATAATGAAAAGTCGCCAAGTGGTGCACCATCTGCTCGATTCGGTGATATTTAAATCCAGCTGTACAACACTTGATATTAGGCCTCTACGAAGCAAGAAAAAGTGCTGCGGCCAATAAAAAATAATGGGATAATTTCCTGAAAGTGGCAACAAAAGGGATGGCAAAGTCTGTATTTGGATTGGCATAAATTTCAAAGCACGACATAAATTTTAAGCATCAGTACGCACAGCAAGGGGAGGTAACGCTGAGTAATAATCTTATTTTGATCTCGAAGGCTAATGTTGATTGTTTTGGGCACTCGTTCACATTTTGCTTCCCCAAAGCATGATCGACACCTATTATTGGAGCTCTTGAATTAACTGGCCTTCCAAGTCTATTATAAACACTAATCCATTTGTTGTCAGGTTGAATTTATAGCATTTTCAAAGTACCAGCAAGGCGGAAGCAAGGGGAATCACTCAGCCGTAAAACCCATTTAAATGGCTAATTGGATGTTTAATCCGATCGCTTTTACTCATTCAAACAGCTTCAGCACACACGAGAACTAATGCTGTGTTTAATGGTGTCAAGATCGTTAGGAGCTCTACCAAATGCTTTACGAGGCGCTCAAGGAGCAACATCATTAAGTACACTAATCGAGGAAGATGTCATAAGCCACGAATAATGAAATAATTTTCAAAAAACCTTCCCTATTAGCAGTCTGAGCAAAACGGTTTCACTATACCATATTTGCTACCACGTTGCTTCAAAATCAAAAACGAGCCAAGATGATTTTGTTTCGCCCCATTTTTAACTGATTCGGATTTCACTTAATGTTGACAGACAAATGGAAACGGAATCTGAAAAGCGCCAGGCTGTATCAATTGGATTGATGTACAACTCACTCTGGCACTAAATAGTTGTCCCTCAAAATGGCAGAGGTAAATGAAAATAGAGACGTTGAAAGATAGCGTACCGAAAATAAATTGCAAAAACACAGACCGATGAGTGGACATAGCCACTGAAATAGCTAAGGAGAAAAAGGAGAAAAAAATAACCCAATAAGTTTATTAGCATTTGTGCGATAGCAAAAAGCCCACAGG